TTCTTCTTTTCTTGTCCTATTCTATTCTCTCTTCTGTACTCTTTTCTTGTCTATTCTATTCTCTTGTCCTATTCTATTTTCTAGTCTAGTCTCTATTCTATTCCTATTTATTCTCTTCTTTATTTTCTTATCCTATTCTATTCTCTCTTCTGTACTCTTCTCTTGTCTATTCTATTCTCTTGTCCTATTCTATTCTATTTTCTAGTCTCTATTCTATTCCAATTTATTCTCTTCTTTATTTTCTTATCTATTTTATTCTAGTCTCTATTCTATTCTATTCCTATTTATTCTCTTCTCTCTTCTCTTGTCCTAGTCTAGTCTCTCTTTTCTCTTCTCTCTTCTTTTGTCTATTTTCTTCTTTTCTTTTCTTATCCTATTCTATTCTCTCTTCTGGTACTCTTCTCTTGTCTATTCTATTCTCTTGTCCTATTCTATTCTTCTATTCTTTCTAGACTAGTCTCTATTCTATTCCTATTTATTTTCTTCTTTATTTTCTTATCTATTCTATTCTAGTCTCTATTCTATTCTATTCCTATTTATTCTATTCTCTTCTTTTGACTATTTTCTTATTTTCTTGTCCTATTCTATTCTCTCTTCTGTATTCTTCTCTTGTCTATTCTATTCTCTTGTCCTATTCTATTCTATTCTATTCTTCTATTCTATTTTCTAGTCTAGTCTCTATTCTATTCCTATTTATTCTCTTCTTTATTGTCTTATCTATTCTATTCTAGTCTCTATTCTAGTCTCTTTTCTCTATTCTATTATCTATTCTATTCACTATTCTCTTTTGTCTATTTTCTTCTTTTCTTGTCCTATTCTCTCTTCTGTACTCTTCTCTTGTCTATTCTATTCTCTTGTCCTATTCTATTCTTCTATTCTATTTTCTAGTCTAGTCTCTATTCTATTCCTATTTATTCTCTTCTTTATTGTCTTATCTATTCTATTCTAGTCTCTATTCTAGTCTCTTTTCTCTATTCTATTATCTATTCTATTCACTATTCTCTTCTCTCTTCTCTTTTGTCTATTTTCTTCTTTTCTTGTCCTATTCTCTCTTCTGTACTCTTCTCTTGTCTATTCTATTCTCTTGTCCTATTCTATTCTTCTATTCTATTTTCTAGTCTAGTCTCTATTCTATTCCCATTTATTCTCTTCTTTATTGTCTTATCTATTCTATTCTAGTCTCTATTCTATTCTCTTTTCTCTGTTCTATTATCTATT